TGAACGAATTAGTGTAATATATGATGTCCTATTTTAAATAGTGCATTAAGATTTCTCGAAAACTATGGTAGATACGGAAAAATGATTCAAACAAAAGTTATATGATTCGGAAGGGGACATAAGAAGATACTATTGATTTGACCTTGGGTGGCGTCAAGGTCAAGTCCTCCTTGAGGGACGCCACCTTGTTGTGAAGGGGCCCGTCCCTCGCGGTCGAGGTCATTGTCAGCGCTTGCTGGCGAGGGCAGCTGGTCGGGGATGCGTCCTGTAAGGACTCCTTCGTTAAGTCGAAGGTGTCTGTACGCTCTGGATCCGGCACACCAGTAGGGACGGGTCTCTTTGGAGGTTCAATGTGCCGGTAGGGGAAAGCGACCCTGACTTCAAACGTCGGATGACACCGTTAGAGGGAATTTTGCTCTCCGTCCGTGACGACGCGAGTGCTCCCGCAGGCGTGCTGCCGTATCACGAGGTGCTCCCAGCGACACGGCGTGGCACACGCTACAGGGGGATAGGGGCGGCCTATCGTCCCCAGAAATGGATGTCAACCCCGTTCAGTTCGTCGAGCGGGTTTTTATAAGGCGTGGGGTGATTAGGGGGTGCGCGAACGTACTCCGCGGCAAGGTCCTCATCCCCTCTCCCAAGCGGATGGACCATAAAGCTGCTCGGAAATATTCCAAGACAGGATTCATGGCCTAGGTCACTCCGAGCCGCTCCGACATATTTGGAAGTCTAAGTCGGGGGCGACGGTAGGAGCAGTTACCCCAGTGCGCGATAGCATCCCTCCCGAAGCGAGACTCTTAGTCCACCGTGGGCCATGAGCTGTTTGGCCCCATTCCCGCAAGGTCGAGAGTGTGCGCAGACATTTCCCCCACCTAACCAAAAAAAGAAAAGATCAGGTCAAGACCACATCGATTTTTTTCAACGAAACTCCTTATTTTGTTATTTTGACTCTAATAACTGAGAGCTTTTCAAAACGTTACAAAAAAATATTATATTTTTTCATTAAGTACTTTTTGAATTATGATGCTTGAAAGTTACAATACCGCCAGCACTAGCATTGCGCAAGGTATCCGACTGATGGCTAAAACCTCTTGAATGCTGTTCAAAATTATATTCTGGATATCATTTGTCAAAATCAAAGCCAGATTAGGAGTTTATACCTCTTATTTTCATTTTTACGTAAAAATAAATTTTTGCAAAAACAAAAATAAGAGGAATAATCTCCAATGATGATCTTGATCTTAACCCAGGTCATGATCCTGAACAACATTCAAGAGGTTTTAGCTGTCGATCGGACATCTTGCATAATGCTAATGCTGATGGTACTATAACTTTCAAGCTTTGTACTCGAAAAATACGTAATGAAAAATAACTTTATTGCAGTGTTTTGAAAAACTCTTAGCACCAGCTATTAGATTTTGTCATCAAAAATAGTGTATTCTATTAAAAGAAATTGGTGTGACCTTGATCTGACCTCGGCAACGTTACCCAAAGTCAAATCAATAATATCTCCTTATGTCCCCTTCCGAATCATACAATTTTTGTTTGAAACATTTTTCCGTATTTACTATAATTTTCGAGAAATCTTAATGCATTATCTAAAATGAGACGCTCTGTATACAGGATGAGTAAAAGTTCACGGACGACGGTGAAATATTCCAAAAACTAAACATTTCCGAAAGAAATATTTCCTATAAAACTTTTAGGGTTTTAAATGATCAATTCCCTAATCTGATCAGTCTGACCTTAGGCATCGCTATCAAATCAAGGTCATATCGATTTTTTTTTAAATAACACACGTTTTTGATTACGGAATCTAATAGCTCGTACCAAGGGCTTTCCAAGCACTATAATAAAGTTATTTTTCAAAGAGTACTTTTCGAGTTATGAGGTTCGAAAGTTACAGCATCGCTGACATTAGAATTACCCAGTACGTGAATGGTTTTAAATATTGGCTTTCGCTGATATTAAGATGTAAAAATTTCATTCAAAAAATCATATCTCTTAATATGATCAGTTACCTATTGCGTGGCCTACCACTTATTGCCACAGCGCGATAAACAAAAATGTTACGTTGCAAATGGAGCATCCTGCTAAGGACAGCGTAAGGATTGATTGGGATACGCAAGTGTTGTAGGAGATATGTTAGCATCGGGAATATGCTGTTGTACAGTTCTGTCTGCAATCTGATATCTCTAGCGGTGTGCTTGAGTTCCACGAAGGAAACTCTTTCTCTTTCAAGTTTTTGTAAAATTTTCCTACGATGGCTATGTTGTCGATAAAAAAAACATATTTATCTACTAATAATGAATAAATATGGAAATAAAGAAAGATCATATCAAGAGACATGTGATTTTTTTTCAATGCAATTCTTAATGCACGAGATTTAATTTCAAAATCGACAGTTGTAAAAACAGTTCAGCGTTTCATTGAAACAGATAGCGTGAAAGATCGCTCGCGCAGTGAGAATTTTGTGAACTTATTGAGGCATGCGAAAACGATTTCATAAATAATATTGTCTTTTCCGATAAAGCTAGTTTCAAACTTCATAGGAATGTTAATCGTCAAAATTTTTTGTTGAAGTAAATCCACCGAAAATTCACATTGGATGAGATATAACAAATCTCGATATCATGATAAAATCAACGTCTATGCAGGAATAATTGGAGATGATTTAATAGGTCTATTTTTTCTCGATAAAAATCTCAATTCTGAGATATACGAAATAATGCTAATTGAACAAACTATTCCAACTATTTAATATCTGTTCTCATTCGAATGATTTCGATCGCGTGTGGTTTTAAAATGAAGTTACAGCGCATTTTGGATTAAGGAAGGATACGAAGGTTGCTGAATGAAACTTTCCCAAACAGATAAGCTGGGAGGCGTGGAAAAACTGAGTGGCTTCCAAGATCTCTCGATCTGACACCACTAGATTTCTTTTTATGGAGATTGTGAAAAGAACATATTTATAAAACAAAACCAGCGAGTGTGGTAGAATTGAAGCAAAGAATAACTGACGAACTGAATTTAATAATTGTTGATATGTTGAGAAATTTTAGAAATTCTTTTCAATTAAGGCTAATACACTGTCAAACGGTGGAAGGAAGGCAATTCAAACATCTGATATAACTATTATCGACTCTATAATATGGTACATAATGCATATCATAGAGATAAAATCTGTGATTTTTCAGTCACTACACAGGCAATCTTTCATGCTATCTGTTTTAGTGAAATGTTGAATCATTCTTATAATTGTTGATTTTGAAATTAACGCGCGCATGCACACACACATGAGAGGCAAAGAAATTCACGTAACTTAAGCACTCAAAGAGATGAGAGCCTGTTCATCCTGGATAATGCTAAGCATGTGGAAATCCTAGTGATGCTGTAACCTTCCAGCCTCATAACTCGAAAAATACTTTATAAAAAATAACTTTGTTGTAATGTTTTGAAAAGTTCTTGACCCAGCCATTAGATTCTGTAATCAAAAATAAAATGTCATTAAAAAAAATGGTGTGATCTTTACCTTGGTGACGCCACCCAAAGATTGATCAGATCAGTGAATAGATCCTTTAAAACCCTACAATTTTTGTAGAAAACATTTCTTTCGGAAATTTATTTTTCGAAATATTTTATGGAACTTTTTACTCATCCTGTAAAAGTTGGTGTGTCGACTCTCTTAAAATCTTCAAAACTGTAAAAAATTGTCGATAGTAACTAAAACTATCGATAGTATTCGGTAGTATTAGGGGGACCGGAAAGTAATGTCTTTTTTTTTAAATGTCTAGCACGACTTTGAAGTCACACAATGAGCTGATAAATGACAAACGACATTACTTTCCCCCTAATATAATATTCGATAATTGTCGACAGATTATCGATAGTTCTTGATCTTTAGTGACGTAATCATTACTATACACCCTGTATACAGTAATTAATAACCTATTATCATACAATTATATAAGGTGTTTGAAAATATTATAATAGGACCCTCCTAATCAAAAGTACGCATTTTCAGAAAATGATCCGAATAAAAGTTATAGAGATCATGAAGCTAACTTTGAACTTGACCTTGAATAATTGTTTGAAGGTCACATAAAGATCATATTTAATTTTTTAAATGGAACCTTCATTTTTATTACATATTCTTATAGCTAACCTCGAGAGCTTTTCAAAACACTATAATATAATAAAATATTTTTTCATGAAGTACATTTCGAGTTATAAGACTCGAAAGTTATTGTACCGCCGGCATTAGCATTATGCAAAGTGTCTGACAAACGGCTGAAACATCTTAAATGTTGTTCAGGATCATGTCCTGGATATCATTTGTCAAGATTAAAGCCATTGAAGATTTTATCTCTTATTTTCACTTTTGCCTTAAAAATTCATTTCTACATAAAAATGAAAATGAGAGGAACAACCTCCAATGATTTTAATCTCAACAAATGTTATTGAGGACATGATTTTGAACAATATTCGAAAGGTTTTTAGCCGTCGACATCTTGCGTAACATCGCATAATGCTAATGCTGATAGTACTGTAACATTCAAACTTTATAACTCAAAATGTACTTCATGAAAATATTATATTATGTTTTGAAAAGCTCTCGAGGTTAGCTACAACAGTATTTATTAAAAAATGGGGGATTCTATTTGAGAAATCAAAAGACCTTAATGTAATTTTCAAATCATTAACACAAGATCAAGTTCAAAGTCATCAAAAGATAGTTCTTCGTGACCTCTGTAATTTTTATTCGGGTCATTTTCCTTGAAAGTGCATACTTTTGGAGATCATAGGAAAATCCCATTCTTTTCGAACACCTTATATATCTAAATATATCTGACGGATAAAAGTAAAGTTCATATTATCGTTCCAGTTTTTATTAATTAGAGTCCGGGTTAAAGTCCTGAAATTGCCCATAAAAATCAACCGTAAAAATCAACCGTAGCTAGCTCTTCCCACTATACTTCATTCCCCATCGCAGTGACGCCGTCGCTTCGGATGAGTGATAATGGGGAAAATCATGAAGAACGCACTACAGTCAACTGGAATTGATCGATCAGCGGATAGTTTGGGCTTTATTAATAATAATCTTTTGCAAACACTTTACCTCCAGTTCGTTCTTTTTTATATTAATTTCTTCCTGAAGTTGTCGCATCTCAATTTCTAATTTCTCTCGGGTACCTTTTTCTCGCGAGATTTCATTCAGTTGCATGCCAATGGTTTCCTGCATCTCTGTCATTTGTTGATTCGCTTCGTTATTTTTTTGCTCAAGCTCCTGTGCGTAAAAGGATATATTTTTCATGCGTTGTCGCATAGTTTCCATCTCGCCAATGAGTATCTCCCTTTCTTTCAAAAGATTCTCCGTTTTCTTGCTAATGGTGATGCTGTAATTAATAGTTTGGTAAAACTTTAAATGGAAAAATGCATTTTGGAATGATCGAAATGTCAATCAGAAAACAATTTTTAAAAAATTTTTTAAAAGTTTTTATATAAAATTTTTCCATTTGGAATGATCGAATAAAAGTTTTTTAAAGGTTTTTATATAAAGTTTTTCCAATGTCTGATTGACATTCCAAAAAGTTTTTGTCAATCAGAAAACAATTCTTTAAAAGTTTTTTAATAGTTTTTTTATATATTATAATGTCTAAGAAATGAGGTAAAACATACGACTAAATAATCTTTTTTACAAATTGATAAAAGAAGCGCTAAGTGTATGTATGCTTTGAAAAAAAAAATGATTTTCTGTTTCAAATCTGTTTCAAATCTATTTTTCAAACTATCAAAGTAATAATAATTTAAAAAAAATATATGTGAAATCTTTAAATTGTGCTAATTATAATCAGAAAATATATTTCGAAACATTAATGTAATACTTTTGTACAAGAAAGTACAGGTAGTAGTATAATTACTTTTGAACAATAAAACTTCTATTTATAATTCTGCGTAAAAAATAATAATCATGTTTTAATATAAAGATTATGTGATTTCGCGAGTTTCCTCCATGTTCCTCCATTCATGGAATGCCAACGTTTCGTGAACCTTGCAGTCCACTTCATCAAAGCATGATACTGGGCTGTTCCTCTTTTTATGTTACGTTACTTATTGGAGTAGTGAGGAGAAAAAAGAGAATTGTAAGTGGGGAAGGGGGAGAAGTGGAGAAAATTGGTCGGTCTTCAATAACCGGGAGAATAGTTTTCTATATTTTATTTATGTTGTAACCATTATCTATATTTAGACTGTTAGGGTGTTTTTGTATCTCTATGGCTTCTCTATACTTTTTTGAAAAGTATGATGTAATGTTGGCTATTTTAGTCGTTTTGTCAAACAGTATTTGATGTCCTGTTTCGATGTTGTGTTCTGATAATGCTGACTGCGTGACGTGTTTTAGCCTGACATCATGTTGGTATTCTTTTATCCATAGGTTGACCATTCTCCCGGATATTTCTTCAATGTATATTTGCCTGCAGAAATAAGATATTTTGTATACTCCTGCGGAGTTGAGTGAAGGTCTTTGATTTTTAGAATTTCTTAAGATTTGTCTTATCTTTTTGGGTGGTTTAAACATAGTTCGAATATTGTGTTTGTTTAATATCGTGCCAATCCGATCTGTTGTTCCTTTGACATATGAAAGAATGGATAAGATCCTTTCATCTAGTGTCAGAAACCGTTGTCTTGTTTGCATGTTTATTGATTGTATTGATTATGTCTTTTTTGTCGTGTCCGTTTTTCTGTAAGACTAGTTTTAGGTGGTTGAGTTCTGTAGATGTTCTTTGTCAGAGATGATGAAAGCTCTATGTACAAGTGAGTTGATTGCAAACTGTTTTTATGCTGGATGATGGTGCGACTCGACATGTAAGTATCTCTCTGTGTGTGTGTTGATTTTCTGTACACTTGATGGCCTAAGGTACCGTCAGCTTTCTTAGAGACAAGAATATCTAGGAAGGAGAGTTTTCCGTTTACCTCTGTCTATAGTGAATTGGATATTTTGATGATTGTTGAGGAAAATAATGAATTTACGGAATTCGGCTCTGCCGTGTCTCCATATCACGAATGTGTCTACATAACGGAATTAAATTTTTAGTTTTTTGGGTGTTTTTCTGAGGGTCTCTTTTTCAAAATGCTGAAGATGTTGGCGATTACAGCAAAAATAGGAAAGTCCATTGCCGCTCCTTTGTTCATAAAATTGGTTGTTATAAGAGAAGTAAGTGGTTGTTAAGCAGTGCTCTAGTGGCGGGATGAAGTCGGAGGGAACTTCATGTGAGGCCTTTATTATGTTTAATGTGTCTTTTATTGGGACTTGTGTGAAAAGGGATTATACGTCGAAACTTACAAGCAGGTCTGTAGGACGTAATGTGTCGGATTTTTTTGATCTTTTGCATGAAATCCGTTGAGTTAATTATGTGTGATTCGGATTTTCCATTGAGGGGTTATAGTACTAGGAAACGGGATAAGTATTGTATGTCGGGAGTGTATGGCGCTGACAATTGGTTCGAGGAGGATGTTAGATTTGTGTACTTTTGATAGTCCATATAGTCTTGGTAGGAGAGGATTCGTAGGTTTAATGTTGATTTGATTTTACTGGGGATTATATTATTGTATATAATAGTATAATGGCTCAATTTAAAAACAAGTTACAAGAAAAAGGACTATGAGTCAGAAGTTTGACCTATGCAATTGGTGCATGAGTAAAAAAATGTCTTAATAAATTAATTATGAAATTTAATAATGCCGACTAACATAACTACCGTTTCGATCACGATCAGATTATCAATGTTTATAAAATATGTCTAAACAGTAGAAAAACATAACATAAAATTGATCAAAAATTGAAATGTACTTCGCATTAAATAACTATACAATTATTGGTATCAATAAATTAAGAAGAATCTTCGTCTTGTTAGTTAAACTAAACATACATAAAATACATATATTAGAATTTATCAAAAAAGTAAAAACTTATACTGGACGATCGATGACAAATGAAAATATACTTCGCAATGTTCAGACACCTAATTGTTGGTATCAATAATTAAAAAATCTTCATCTTGTTACTAAAATTGTACAATAAAAGAACGTCGATGTATGAGTATATATTGGTGTCCAGAACGAAATATAACGCATTACAGCTATAAATATAATGACATAAAATTATAAGAATGATAGAAAAATATAGTCTGATGAGACAATAATGATATAAGTGAAAGTTAAAAATTTACAGTGTAAAACTATCTATTCAATTAAAATAACAAAATACTCTTTAAAATTAAATAAGAAAAATACCTTTCATAATTGAGAGTTCAGTTAAAAAAAAATTAAATAATATGAATAAAGTGCAATAGACAATGTGATTAGAGAAAGAACGATGTCTCTTATGTTCGACGTTGTTAGACAAAATAAATGTAAAATGACTTTCAGAGAAGGAAAGTAAAGTTAATGTTAGAAAATAATGGGAAGTGAAATTAAAGAGAGAGTATAAGTAGAAGGAATATAGGAAGGGAGATGTATAGAGAGGAAAGAAAGATAATTGTGAGAGAGAAAGGGATTGTATGATTTGTGAGAAAGACTCTGGCAAAATTCAGTATCATTTTGTTTATTTAAATTTTGTTTCTGTCTTTTAATGTGAATTATTTCAAATATCGATCTTTTGTCTATAAGAAAACTCACTGTCTAAAATCTTCACATCATTCCATCTGAAATTATAATTAAAATTAACACGATGATATAACAGACAGAGAACTTTTATTAATATCCGAAATGTTCACGCAATCTAGTGCTTAGTTATCTCTTTGTTTGGCCAACATAGCTGGCGTCACAATCATCACATGAGATCTTATTATATATACAACATTTTGATTCGAAAGCAATTCCAAATTATCCTTATTTCTCTTAATAAAATTTTTTAAGGTATTGGTGATGATGAAAGCTAGTTTACAATGAAATGACATGTTAGAGATAGATAGAAAACTTTCTGAGATGGAATGTACATGGGGAATTGTAAAATTTTCTTTGATTTATAAATTATGTGTAATATTTTTATTTAATGTATGAAATTTTAATCTTTTTTCTATTGTGAAAAAATAAAAGAGAGAGGATATCTATTTTCAAGAAAAGTGTGAATTGCGTCGATCAAATTTTTTTATTGAAAGCGAGGATGTGACAGATAGAATATTTTGTCTAAAAAACTATTGTAATAATTGTGCCTCTTTTGTGACGAAGAGGATGATTCAAATCGAGAGAAATTGAGAAATCTGCCAAAAAATATTGTTTTATGACATGTGTCATGTGTCAAAAACGATTCTCTAATTGTCAATGATAATTGTTATATCAAATAAACATATTCTGTCATTAACACCAATCTCTATAGTAAATTACTAATCAATAATACTAATTAATAATCTTGTGTGTAAAGAATTGAAAATGTTTAGTGTACTATTGATCGTATCGAGTATTTTATTATTTTAATTGAATAGATAGATTTACACTGTACATTTTTAACTTTCACTTATATCATTGTATTGTCTCATCAGATTATATTTTTCTATCATTCTTATAACCTATTATATACAATATTATATTTATAGCTGTAATGCATTATATTTCGTTCTGGACACCAATGTAATCATACACCAACGTTTTTTTACTCTACAATTTTACTAACAAGACGAAGATTCTTTAAGAAACATAAAGGGCTATAAGCCTAAGATTAATCGTTATAAAATAAAAATTTTAAACTGTGTGTAATAAATAAACATATCATTTAGTTAAAACTTTAATTTGCCAGTAATAAACAAAACAAAACAAACATTTCGATCCTTGTTGGATCATTATCAATATAAACAAAAACAGTGGAAATATTACATAGCTAAACATATAAAAATTGAAATTCGTTCTCGATCGCAATACTAATAATCAATCTCGCTCAATGTAAAATAAATGTTACAGGAATGTTGTAATCGATAACTATGTATTCCTCTGGATTTTGTATGTATATTATAGACAAAAATAACTTATTTATGTTAAAAAGTACAAATATAATATAAAATTGTGATAAATAGGAATAAATAGTAAAATCTAATAAAAAAAATACTACTAAAAAGCAAGGAATACAAAAAAGTAAAAAAGTAAGAAGAATTCTTTAATTATTAATACCAACAGTCTTAACATTGCGAAGTATATTTTCATTTGCCATCAACCGTCCATAGTATAAGTTTTTACTTTTCTGATAAATTCTAATGTATGTATTTTATGTATGTTCAGTTTAATTAACAAAACGAAGATCCTTCTTAATTTAATGATATCAACAATTGTATAGTTATTTAATAAGTATATTTTGAAGTATATTTTTAATTTTCGATCGAACTTCACTTTATGTTATGTTTTTTTA